ATTACCTACAACTTTGCCATTTAACTTTTTTCCATAAGACTTGTAGTTTTTCCGGAAATCAAGGGAAACCGTTTTTTAACCTTAAAAACTCACCCCCTTCCCCTTCCCGACCTCAGATCGCCCGTAAATTATTTTTCCTTTCATTTCTGTTATATTCTCTTCCTTTTCCAATGGGTTTCATCCTACTATATTTTTTTTTCACTTTTTACCATTTTTGAAGGCTTAAGCACTGATCTATAGGGTTTGCTATTGTTTTCTTAAAAATACGGTTTTATATCAACAAAATTGGTGTTGCTGTTTCATTTGAAAGATATAGAAATATTTTTTTAACGGTATTTTCTTTTTTTTGCCACTTTTAGTTAGGCTGATACGTTTTTATATATTTTGTTTTACTTCAATTAAGATTTCTTGAGCGGTTGTTACTTCGCCAATTTAGATGATATGTATTTGTAAAAAAATGTGTCCCCTTCGAAGTAAAGATCGAACTGTTTCGTCGTTTCTATGAAAAATTAACTGTTCTCAAAGTAATCCATATGATAACTTGTCCTTGGAGAGGAATGTTGTGAAATTTGTAGTAGTGCTGAATACATTCATTGGTTGTTGGTCACATTCAGTGTTTAAATTGAAGGTATACAACATAAAAGAAAATCAGTAAATAAATAATGTTTTGCATTTGGGTCGATTTTGCAAACACAAAAATCAGCCACGGTAAAATCTTCGTTTCTCTTCGAGCAAATTGCCCTCGAAGCTAAAAACGACTGGATACCAAACCCGGGCTGTTGTGTTATGAACATGTTTAGGGAATAACGGTGAATGGCCCCCACTGAGCCACTATATCGTGGCGCCCCAACACCGACCTCTGCAAGACGTGACAGCCGATAACAGGTGCTTTACCGAGAGAAGAAAGAAGACCGTTCGATTCGACCAGCACGATGGTAGACAGGGTTCGCAAGACTCCCATAGAGACTCGGGCATAGACACGTCTTCCACATTCACCTCCAGCGAGGACTCCACCCGGGGAGATTTGCCCAAGGTGCTTAACACCTCTATCACTATTAGTAGCTCAGTAGAGGCTCTACAGTAGACTATGCAGCCTTTAGTTGTGCGGTTTGTTTATAAGAACGTGTCCCTTGTGCAGATCTTGTATAGGCCAGTCACATGCAGTTTTATAAAATGTACTTAAAGGCACGCACGTATGTGAGACATAACTGGTTATTTATATTTTTAAGATGTTCCGGAAAGGTACAAATAGGTACAAATGAAGCCACTTAGACAACAACTATAGATATTGTTCCAGAATTAATAGAACACAGAGAAACTGAATTTAGGCCACTACAATATCTTGATTTAACTAAACTTACCTTCAGTTCAAAAGTTGATATTAAGAGAAATATTGAATGTTAATTATAACAAATAAAAGTTTTGTGTGTACACAAACATGGTACAATTGGTACCGTCAACTGAAAATCCTTAAATCTTAACGTCATCAATATTATTGATCATATTTACAATAAACAATGGCAAATCGTTGTGAAAAATTACGCCAGTCAAATGAAACGTTGCGTTTTAACATAATTTCATTTTAATAATTTTTAATTTCACCGAAATTATTTGATATGACTAGTAAGTATTTTAATGCACCACCTAGGGGGCGCTACATATGCTGCAGATAATATTCATCAATTTATTCATTTCTCTTAACTATTTGGCAATTCCAAAAAAAGACTATTAGCGGTTATCCTGGGTAAATGTGTTAAGATTTAAGTGTTTTGTTGCGCTTTTAATTTGAATGCAGTTGGACGCATTAGCCTTTGATTTAATACCTGTGGCAACAAGATTCTTTATTATTGTCAAAAACTTAAGAGCTAATAAACTAAGAGAGTATTTAATTAAATAATTATCAAAGATGTGTTGTTAGAAATATAAGAGGTATAATATAAGAGATAATTTCTTTGAAATTTTTAATTTTTTAAATACGGTGTATTTTTTTATAACATTGTTAATAGATATTACGTGTGTAATTCAATGCTGGAAAGGGGTTTTGTTCACAAAGTAGTTGTTTTCTATAATATCGTTAGTTAATTAATATAATATATTAAAGTAATAAGATAATTCATATTAATTTAGACAGATTATCATGTTTTTGACATTGCCTTTCAAATATTCAGATCATCAATTAAATTATTCATCAATTCCTATTTAAAAAATAGGCCTCTTGGAAAAGCTATCCGTAAAATGCAGAAATAAGTCAGCTGATCTATTGAGGTTCATTAGCGAGTATATTTTTGTTAAAGAAGTGATGTTAATGTTTTTCTTTTGTGTTAAAGAAGATCTATCACTTTATCAGCTCAGAATTTGGAGAAACTGTTAAATTTAAATTAGCTTAAAAACATTTGAAAGTAAAGCAAAAGTATCAAGGGCGACGCCAAGGGGGTCAAGAAATTCGAAAGAAGTACAAAAATTTTCTTAAGCCAACGAAATATTAGATTGGGAAATTTTTATTAAAATATTTTATTTACATAAATTTTAATTTTGAATTTTTTTTTAAAAAACAATTGTAATAAATTAGTATAAATATTGGTTGACAAAAGAATTTAAAAATATACAATTTTATATTGAAAAGTAATACATATTTTAAAAATTTAGCTCTGGAATTTTAAATTTAAAAAAAAAACAAGAATAAAAACCTGGCTGAGAAATACTATGGTATAAAATCATCTCAATGGATTAGCAATGATGAGTATACACAGAAAGCTTATTTTTGCAACCATTAAGATTTTATTAATAATGGGTACACAAATGTTCAAAAAATTCGAGAAGATTATGTTTTACCTAATTTTCGTTGAATTTCTTTATTGTTTGTTATTTTTTATATTCTTTTGTATTAACTTTTTTGTTTTAAGAGTTATAAAAAAATGTGAATTACAAAAGTTACACGATTTTTTATGAAGTTTTCGAAAATGATAATAGAAAAACAAATGAGCATAATCATATAGGGTTTGTTGGGTCCACCTCTAACAATAAGCGAGATAATACTAAAAAATGAAAAGAAGGTTTTTTATTAAGAAAATAAGACATTTTGTAATTGTTAGACCTCTTTCTGACGTTTTTCCAATTACGTAAGAATTTACAGATTTAGTTGTAATATATTGACATATCGCACATTAATAGGTATTTTAACTAAATCTCACTAATTAGGCCGTGAGAGGCCTATTTACTCATGAACAATGTTATATGGTAGGTCGTGACAGTGACAGTTAGTAATGTCATGATAACATTGTTATTGATTGACAGTTTGTATTATTAATTAATTGAAAATGGGCTACACAGAAGTAGAAAACTGTAATATTATTAGGAATTAAAATTGAGTATGGAGAATTAATTTCTCTATTTTAATTCCTATAATATTTCAATTTTCTATTTCTATGTAACCCATTTTAATTAAATACATAATAATATAAACTGTCAAACAATAACAATGTTGTCATAACATTACCTTTCACTGTCACGGCCTACTATATAACATTGTCCATGGCCTCTCACGGCCTAATTAGTGAGATTTAGTTAAAATACCTATCCGCATTTTGGACTATATCAATGTTCCGATATGTCAAAATATATTACAACTAAATCTAAATCCTTACGTAATTGGAAAAAAGCCAGAAATGCCTAAAAGAGGTCTAACAATTACAAAATGTCTTATTTTGTTAATAAAAAACCCTCTTTTCGTTTTTTAATATTATCTCACTTATTATTAGAGATGGACCCAACAAACCCTATATGACTATGCTCGACAGGGAACGTTCTATGCAAATATGAAAAAATATACAAGGTATTCCATTTAAATTAACAAAGTTAACATCCGCTGCCATTTTGTTTGGACTTCAATTGTTTTTCTCCTATCATTTTCGAAAATTTCATAAAAAATCGTGTAACTTTTGTATTTCACATTTTTTTATAACTCTTAAAACAAAAAAGTTAATGAGGGGTCAAAATATAATGAATCACCCTGTACCTATAATTTATATTTCTCCCAACCTCTCTCTTATCTTGTCCCCGCCTAGCCTATTGGTTGGGACGCCCTTGAAAAGTACAAATGTAAATATATACCCCTTCAAAATCACACACTGCGTTCAAAGGACAATGTTAAAAATCGGTGGATTTCTGCCCCACTCTGGAACTTTCTGTAGCTATCTTAAATGATTCCAATAGGCGTGTATTTGATAGAAATATATTTCTAAGGATGTCATTCTGCGGGGAAAATCGTCAAGATGGCAATATCCGTGTAAGATCGGGGAAAACTTGTTCAGCCTCTAGATAGATTCTTTGAAATCGATCCATGTTCAACCAACTCCGGAACTTTTCGTAGCGATGCTAAATGACTCCAGTAGGCTTGTATTTGATGCAAATACACGTATGGAACCGGTATTTTTACGAAGAAAATGTTCCAGCATTTATTTCTTGCTTCCTTCCTTATTTACTTCCTTTTGATCAGAATCACTGATAAAGTTCAAGAATCATACATTGATTCAGACTCGTCCACGCACGCTATGCTGAGTCATTGTCTTCATCTTGATCGCTGCTCTCGTTATCATTCAGTGTCTCAAGGATGTCAGAATTATCTGGGGTTATTGGAATGAAGTCTAAAGGCGTTACGGGGCATTTGTGTCAAATGCCCCGTAACGTAACACCGAACATGTTACGTTACAGCTAGTGGAGACGGAAAATTGTTGCATGGTACGTGTAACAAATTTGATACGCGTAACTAATCCGGGACGAACCATCAGTTGTCGGTTTTTAGTGGTCGCATCAAAGGGATGCAATAGTACTTTCTGCCACATGTTGAGACGGGGTTACTCTTTTGGCCGTAACGTTGCCTGTTACACATGTGATTTTGTCTTATTTTTTGTTTCGTCAGCCGTTTGTATATGGTCTGGGGTCAGTCTGTTTTCTGCAGTGACTAGAAAGAGTGTGTTTTTCTGTGTTTGTGCCATGAAGTGGAGTAAAGAAAAGATTTCCGGAGATTTCCGTTTCTTATTCTTCAAAATTGTATGATGTATAAAGATATATGATGCTGCTGCTAACTGCAATTGCAATGACGAATCCATCATTGCAGTCAGGTTCATACAGTTTATGTTCCTGTGTCGTCTCGTAACCTTATTTTGTTACGTTACGGAATGAATGATACGACCAAAACCACACATACTTTGTCAGCGAACCGTGTCACCTTTTGCAACAGGCCGTAACATGTTCGTTGTTATGTTAGTGAGCATTGCCACAAGTGAATACCCGCCTTAAAAACGTGCATATTCAAAGAATCATAAAAGCACCATTACATGAGAACAGAAACCCACCACCCCTTTTCCGACCTTACATCCACAGTAAGCACCAAAAATGCGATCAACTTCCTTAATGAGTTTTATTTTTTGTCCATGTATACTTTTTTAATCATCTCACGGGAACATTTTCCCCAAAAAATGCCAGGTTTCGATGTTTATTCCCTACAATTCAAACATACTGGAACCAGTTACCATAGCTGTATAAGAGGGGACTTAAAGCAATCAATTTTACGAAGTATACCTTCCGAACTGGAACATTTTCTTCGGGAAAATGCCGGCTTCATATGTGTATTTGCATCAAAAACAAAGCTACTGGAGTTTTTTAACATCGCTACAAAAGTTCCGAAGTTGGTTGAACATGGATCGATTTCAAAGAATTTACGTAGAGATTGAACAAGTTTTACACGATCTTACGCGGATATTGCCGTCTGGACGATTTTCCCCGCAAAATAACAGCCTTAGAAGTGTATTTCTATCAAATACAAGCCTATTGGAATCATTTAAGATAGCTACAGAAAGTTCCAGAGTAGGGCAGAAATTGACTGATTTTTAACATTGTCCTTTATATTACTCTGAAGGTGACCAAAACAGTTAAAATGAAGAAAATGTATGTTGAAATTATCAAATTTATATAGACAAGTTAGGAATTAATAAAAACTTCAAAGGTAGCGCCTCCAGGTACAATGATTGAAAT